AGTAAATAATAGAGCCACTGAAGCCCACCGAGGCTGATGGGTGGTTAGAAGGTTGACAGCTCAGCTTCAGAACGAGTGCGTCCACGAGAAAGTGAACGTTGCCAAAGAAAGTCCAGGTTCCTTCCTGACAATGGAGCCCAGTAGCATGTAGAAGAACGAAGGTGACACCAATGAAAGTGTCAAGTTAGATCCTTGTTCAACTGGCAATGTGGAGCCACCTTCTTTCCTTGCAGGTGTCGAGCGGCGAGGTAAGATGGAGAATAAGGTAGTCCAAGTGGAAGGTACGGAGAATATGCCCAAGCAACGGAGGAATAGAAACAATCAAATCAACAGAGATGGACAAGACTCTCCACAGAACGAGTGCCAGGCGGGAAAAAAGAAAGGTTCAATGCTGTAGTTGCACGAAGGCCGCCAACTTGATGGTGGTGGTGAGATTGTTGTTGTAGAGGTCGTAGCAAGCAAGATTAGTTTCAGGTCAGGGTCCGTTGTGAGTGTAGAGTAGTATTATTATTATATTATGGAATAGTACCGTAGTAACAGTCGTCAGTCGTAGTCAATGGAGGGTGACGGGGACTATAGATGGTTGGAGCATGGATCAACGCGTGTCCATTCCAGAAGAGATTGTCCCAAGGGGGAGGGAGGAGTAAAGGGAACTACTTGAAGCAACGATAACAACTGCAAGGAGGGAGCGAGGCAAAAAAGACGATGAAGATAGTTGATCTCGAGCATGAATCCAAAAAGAAGTAATGTAAACTTCAATAAAAAAGAGTAAAAACGGAAATAGGGAAAGCAAAAATAATAGGATGGCGATACCGTGATAGATACTACCAGATTATGATTTTGTTTGGGAGAGTGCAACATAACGGTGCCCATTTGGGCCCTCAGTCCGTCAGATATGGTAGTATGGTATCGTAATTACTTTCCAGCAGGTGCTACCTTACTACCTTACTCTGGGCCGTAATAAACTAACTTGATTCGAGAGACACGATCAACCAGATGATACAAATCCTCCCAGAGGCACGGAGTAAACCACTGAGTATTTTCATAAATCTTGATGGCAAATAGATGAAGGAGTTAGTGATGTTTAACTAGCAGTCCGTCAAGGTACGAAGTACTACAAGGATATCACCTAGTAGCGTTGCCGATCTCTTGGCTTCCATATGCCCAATATTAATTTTTCTAAATCTTGCTGAAGTCAAGATATCCTCAATGTGTTCAGAGGGCTGACCTTGTTTGCATGACCTAAGCATAAATAGAACTAAGTTACTCTGTGAAGTAAGGACATGCTACTACAGGTTCACTACTAAGTACTACCTATCTTCCTGATCATGGTAATCTATACGTATGTGCAATACGCTACGACAAGTACACTACTCCAGCATACTCCACTGAGATTGGTAGTAGACGCTAAATAAATAATTAGTGAACCTAAGGTACCTAAGTAGTTGTAGGCTAATGTGGTGATCGCCATCAGAGTTACATTCTCGAGGCTCCATACGTAACCAGTCCACCAGGCGTTTCAGTTTTGTCATGACCGTTTCAGTACCGTGCCACCGACTTCATTTCACTGCTTTAAATCTCCCAGTCGTCTGCAGAAAACTAATTGAATATTCATATAAGACAGAATCCGCTGTATTGTCTGCAATGAGAGAGAGACATACACTGTTAAACTCTGATTATTTGCTCAGAAGCATTCCTCATGGTGGCTTCTTCTCGACGGGCTCCTTTATGGGGGCTGGTCAGTAGGTTCCGCATATTGTGGTATGTGTGACACTTGATGGTGCAACGGTGGTAGTCGGCAGTCTCTAATCATAACCGCCGAAACTGTTACACTGGCAGCTCCATCAACCCAAAACTGCATAGCGATGAATATGAATCGTGTCAGGATCTTCAGGCCGATCCCATTTGGTCATCATAATGCGATATAAATGATACTTTGTTGTTAGGTTCTTCTTCAGTGCCCTCTATGCGCATTACTCTGCGTCATGGTCCTTGATTTGGAGGATCTCACAACTAGTATGACCCTACATTCCAAGCGACGTACTCTGCCAAGGCACGGTAGACAGGCTATGCAGGTAGTGTCACTACGAAGATATGGTTCAGCATGCTAGGCATACTACTTGCCTGCAACATATACTGCTCACATAGGTACAGTGGGGTGCAAAAAGTATTCGACCACCCCTTACCTTACCGCCTAGTATTCTGCCAGCAGAATACTACCAAACGCGTAGATATCCATTATCCATTACCTAGATATCAACAACGGTACAACCAAAATGGGCCGTAAAGGCAAAGAATTGAGCCCTCAATTACGCTCACGAATCTGCGAGTTAAAGAGCATTGGATGGAGCTATTCTAAGATTAGAGCTAAGCATCCTGAGGTGCCTCTTTCAACTATTAAATCGACTGTTTTGAATGAACGAAAACGCGTTAATAATCAATCAAAACCACGTTCTGGACGTCCTCGCCAGCTTAGTGAGGTGCAGAGGGATCATCTCTATGATCTAAGTCAGTCTTCTCCTCATCTAAAGATGCAAGATCTTCTTACTGAGGTAGATGGTGCTGTGAAAAAGAGAGCATTACAATATCTTCTTCGAGAACTTGGTCTTCGCAAATGGAGACAGCTTCGTCGACCAGCTCTTACTGGGGAACAAGCCTTAGCTCGTCTTAACTGGGCAAATCAATATCAACACTTTACACCGGAAGATTGGGCACGTGTTAAATGGAGTGACGAGTGCTCAGTTGAGAGAGGTGTTGGTATCCGACCAATCTGGACATTCCGACGACCAAGAGATCAACTCCATGAGCATGATGTCTGCACTCGACGAACAGGGAAGGGTGTTAGACAGATGTTTTGGGCAGGCTTTGGTGAAGAGATACGTACAGGTTTAGTCCCTCTGGATGGTGATCCAGAAGCTCCACGAGGGGGGGTATCAGGCCGGGTGATAAGAGATCTCTATCAAGCATGGCTTCCTGAGCTTACTGAGCCTGGTGATATTTTCATGCAGGATAATGCCAGAATCCATACTGCAAGGATTGTGAGAGAGGTGCTTGATTCTCTACAGATTGATATTATGGTTTGGCCTCCATACTCTCCTGATCTCAATCCAATTGAGAACCTCTGGTCACTTATGAAGGAGAAGATCTATATGCTTTATCCAGAACTGGAAGATGCACCTAATACTGAGGGAACACGTCAATTACTTATCCATGCAGCTAAGGAGGCATGGCAAGCTATAGATACTACTATTCTTCAAAAGCTATCAAGGACCATGCCTAACCGGGTGAAGGCAGTTATTGAGGCAGATGGTTGGTATACAAAATATTAATGGAATTAGTATTCTCCTTCCTAACTAGGTTTAGCTACTAGTAGGCGGTAAGATGAGGTGGTCGAATACTTTTTGCACCCCACTGTAAGTAAACTGCTCGCTTACTGATATACTCTCACCTCCCCATCAAGGATAGTGTCTCAATGTGGTGTAGTGCTCTTTCAAATACATGTCATTGCCGAAGGCTAGCAACAATGGGCAATCTGGATACGGAAGATTATCAACTTATCATGTAGTGATCCAAATCGTTTGTAACATCCGCACCTTATCAAGCCAAGACGGCTTGTACAACGCTCTTTGTCGCCACACCACGTAGGTTGATTGCGTAGACATAGACAATCATTGATGCCGCACGACCTCGAAATCTCGAATGCGGCAAGATGTTGACCTCTCCAATGCTTGGGCGCCACCTTCTAAGTACTTGCATTATCTCGAGTCATTGGGTTGTTTTCATCAAGCCTTTTCTCGAAGGATTCAGACAGCCCTCCACATCTCGTAATAAATACTAATCTCTGCCTAGTGTGACATCTCGCCACGTGGTCCGGGGAAGTCCCATAAACCATAGTCTGGAGATATCCAACATTACCAGTTAATATGGATGCAATAATACTGAGACTCGGACTTTCTTTATGAATGATGATCAATTTGGGTCAGACATTGCTCATAGAGACTTGGTTGACTTTGAGATCTCAATGCCCTTGGAGAGATATCTACAACAGCCGATGGGAAACACTTGCCCAAACGGTCAAACGTACTTCAGAGAGCAATATACGACGCAAGCTTAGGGACCATCAGGCGTAGGTTGACCGGGCCGACATCCTCTAGATAATAGACAGACATTGATCACGTTATGCACTCGCAAATCCTGAAACAGTGATCGATAGAAACCGGCAAGACAGACAATAATTGCTCAGCTACGGACAATACTTCATTCGGAAACCAGCACGTGCGCAATTACGATGCGGTATGTACTACATTTGGTTTCAGTTGCAACTGTATGCCATGTATGGCCCTAGCCTTAGGAGTGCAACATTGTGAGACACATCAGTGATTCTGATATGGTCTGATGGACCTCTTTTTCGGCCTGTGACTGCATTAGTGTATATCCCTTTGACATGCCCTCAGAAGAATAGTCATCCAATGGAATCTCATCGTCTTTAGAGTCCTAAGGATGCCTAATACTGATTATGCCCAGTCTTGGCCACGCCATCGGTCATTTCAATGATTTGACTGATCTTGAGCATAAAAATTTGAGACTTCTATTACAATCTTCAAGCCTTCTTCTCCCTAGAAAATCATATTCAGCAACAGAATCTTGAGGGGTGCTACTCGCGTCTTTCTGCTCCAGTGAAGTAGCCTTGTCTGAAGAAGTTCGTCCTCCATAGATCGCTAGAGGCCTAAGGTAGCTGTCGACGATTGCTGTGATAGATGTTGAATCTCAACCGAAGCCATACAAAGATCACCTAGTCTGTCTTGTTGACAGCTCCACTTGGAGGATGATGTGAGGATGTGGCCATGGGGTGTATTGAGATGACATCAGAATTACAGAAGCGGAGCATCAGGAGTTTATTGAATATCAACAACTTCGTATATCTTCCCAGTTCTTTGATGCAGCATCAATCCTTTAACAATATCAATACTCGGATTTTCTAGTCGTCAGGCCGAGTCAAAATGTCGGCCGAGCGAGTTAAAGACAAAAAAGGCGAGAATATCAACGAGGGTGACCATGTCTATACCCGCTATCGGGGCGGATCTCATGAAGGAGAGGTACGTCGATCTTCCTCTACGCTTGTCTCCTTGACCAAGTTTAATAGAGGAATTCCTCTAGGTCGAAAAGATTGTGAGGGATCAAGCGGAAGCGGATGAGGAGAACGTCGCGAATCCCCCAAAGGTACGGAACAATGCGATTCCGCCTCGACTACCCCTAATACATCGTCTCAGAAAGTCAACGACGCCAATGCTAACGCTCGAAGGTTATCTTCACCGATCAACATGGTCATCGGGTTGCGCATAATCCCAGCACGTTGGAGAAGATCAGATGATACCTCCGCCATCTGTGCACGCTCGCAACCCAGTTTTCTGAAAGTTGCCATGACAAATGTCGTCTGTCCCTGAGCATATCTTGCTGCCTATGACGGGACTTACCTTCCCTTGTTATATGTTCTGAGTTATATCCTTGATCGCTTCCCCACCTGTTTATTATTCATCGGGGTACTCTTCCAGTTTCTACGCAGAGTGAAAGAATGTCCATCATATCTGGCAGACGATACATTCAAACAACCCACTAGCAGCGGCATAAGAATGTATGAATATTCGGCTGCGCACTCTTCATTCCAACGGTCAAGCTAGATTAAGCTTATGCGTCGTCGGGTTTCCCGGAGCAATCTGAAGATCGCCGTAGTATGGTTTGATCACAATCAACCTAGGTTAACAGCTCTGATCTTTGCCAATCGTTCCAGAAGCTCATGCTTTCTTTGCCCCTACTGAGTACTGACAAATCAATATAGCACTAACTATCGATTACAGCATGGGGCTAGAGAGTTGTTGCCTGATGAGCTGTCAGCACCGTCAGCAATACGGGGTGGTTCCCCCTCAAATGTGGGGAAGTGCTAACTGCTAATGCCGCGAGCGCTGACAAAACCCCGGCATTCCCCCAGCTAAGAGAGCTGATCACATGTGAGTGAATCAGTGCCTCGTTCGAGTCGTCCAAAGAAGAATTGAACTACTCATTAATATCGGGTTCTTCATGGAGCGGAAGGACTCAAGCCAAAGTGTAATAGGTTGAATTCGGGACCCTGCCCTTGCTCGTTTGTATCTTGGCGAGGGACAATTCTTCGTCCTGATGCCCTAACAGAGGCTCCGGGTCTGCCGCGAATATCCACTTGGGTCAACCGAGCTTGAGCAGAAGACAAGAAGCAATGGGACTTCATCTGGCTGACGGTCCTATCATTGGCCTCTTTCCCCTGGCCCCTTTTGCTCGGCACGGCCTGACGCTCTCCCGCGCCCCGGAAGGTCGTGGAATTGGTCACGCACACCTGTTAGACCGCGAATGTTCAGCCACCATCAGGAAGAGAAGTCTCAATATTGAAACTAAAATCCGAGATATGATCGGGAGGCCGAGGCATTTCAGAGAGGGGAAGGCAGCTCGTATACTTCTTTTCTGGAGAAAACGGAAGATAAATTGCCTGCTGCCCTCCCCCCGAGATGCCTCAGTCAAGCTGGTTACCGTCTCAAGGCGTTTCCACTCAGTGTCAGCCGAATCAAGATGAGGTGGAGTTCCTTCCTGAAGGCAGCCGTCCTGTATAGGGCAATCTTTAGTCCCTTGGTTTCTGGTGCAGTCCTTCCTCGCGGTGCCGTCCCATCCGCCTCGGGTTCAAGTCTTGTTTCGATCCTGTCTACTGCTGCCAATGATTCTTCAATCAACAGCGAGGCTCAGAGCACTGTCTCCTCAATCGCGTCAAAGATCGACGAGACTGAGAACAGTCGCACGACCAAGGACGATGAGTCTGTGCAGCGAGCTTTCGACAAAATTCAATCCATCTTTGCAGATGGCACTCCTGATTTCTTGAAAATGGCGCGTGAAATCCTCGCGGTGGGATTGATACCGGCCGACATTCTCTCTTTCTTGAATGGTTACCTCAACTTGGATCTCAACTCGATCCACAACCGGAACCCCAATCCGAAGAACCAAGTCATCTACCCGGCCAAAGCTCCAGGAGATGCACGTTACTCAGTCGCAGAAAATGCACTGCGGGCAGCGATTCATATCCCCACCTCCTTCGGCTATGGCAAGAATGGAAAGAAGCCTGTGATTTTGGTTCCGGGAACTGCTACACCCGCTGGGACAACTTATTACTTCAACTTCGGCAAGTTGGGAAGCGCCGCAAATGCCGACGTGGTTTGGCTCAACATCCCCCAGGCCTCGTTGAATGACATTCAGATCAACTCTGAATACGTCGCTTATGCAATCAATTATATTTCGGCCATTTCAGAATCCAACGTCGCGGTTGTTTCATGGTCCCAAGGCGGACTGGATACTCAATGGGCACTGAAGTACTGGCCATCCACCAGAAAAGCGGTTGATGATTTTATCGCCATCAGCCCTGATTTCCACGGGACGGTCATGAGGTCGCTTGTGTGCCCGTGGCTGGAAGCGCTTGCCTGCACTCCCTCACTGTGGCAGCAGGGGTGGAACACAGAGTTTATCAGAACTCTGCGAGGCGACGGAGGCGACTCTGCATATGTTCCCACAACCACCATCTATTCCACATTCGATGAGATCGTACAGCCCATGAGCGGCAGCCAGGCGTCGGCCATCCTTTCAGATTCACGGGCTGTCGGTGTATCTAATAACCACTTACAAACCATCTGCGGTGGCAAGCCTGCAGGAGGGGTGTACACTCATGAGGGTGTCTTGTACAACCCACTCGCATGGGCATTAGCGGTTGATGCGCTAACCCATGATGGCCCGGGCGATCCGTCACGGCTGGATCTTGACGTGGTGTGCGGGCGTGTGCTACCACCCCAGCTTGGCCTAGATGATTTACTAGGCACAGAAGGACTGCTGCTTATCGCATTAGCAGAAGTTCTTGCATATAGGCCCAAAACATTTGGAGAGCCAGCCATTGCGAGCTATGCTCATTGAAGGGCAAAATAGCGGATAGTCGCAGTCGTGCGAAGTAGCTTGATGCCCTCAGCGAGTTATTTGGTCTGGATAGACATCATGATAGGGATTTTGTTGAGCCCGAGGCCGTGGCCCAGCATCTTTTTCGGTGAATAGCTTATGTAAATAAAAATGTGGATAACTAACGTCAATTCACGGGCGAGTCTGACGGTCCGAATTTCGAGTCTGCTGTCGGGGCGAGTTGCTTGATCAGGACTAATAATATTGGACATAAAGCCGAGTAGAGATAGGTGATCAGTGAGAGGAGTGACTCCGTACTGTGTCCATTTCCGAAGGAGCTGTGACGTGGTGCTCCCTCAGCCAGAGACGGGCAACACAATGCTTTCGCTTCAAAGACTCAAAACAGATGAGCAACGTATGAATGGTTCCGCATCCTAGGTAAAGCCTCGCAGGATTGCCTGATCCACTTCGCCTGACATAGATATGAGTTGGTGAAGCAGTATTAGACTGGAATCTGGCGAGATCAGCGGACGCGCAAAAACGTTAGGCCAAAAGCCAAGGCCACCAAGCTCTGTGGACAGTGGAGCATGGCCACGTCCAACAATGATTTACCGTCCAATAGACTGGACAATCTGCGGGTAACTGGCCGCAAAGCTGACAATTGCCATTATTGACACTGATAAGTAGACTTCTTTCGGAAATCCCGATGGCTGCGGTTCCTCAATTCCGCGGGAGACGCCAAGATGACTGTTGAGTGACTGATTCAGTGGAGGCACACAGCATCGAATTCGCTTGGTCTTTTGTGTCTCAGTCCAATCTGGCTAATAATGATGGAGAGTTATCCTCCCCGCTCGGGTTTCAGCTGTTGCAGAAAAGGGACCCGAGAATGGGCGGTATCACGCAGGCCGTGTAGTCTTCGACCTGGACTCGACTAATGTTGACGCCGCAACGCGTTATGGGGCACTGTACACGAGTACGCATACGTCAATCGCAGAGCTCAGCCATCACTGTTTGGTTCTCGAACCGCGAAGTTCGCAGTCTGCTCCACTGCCTCCAACATCGCCAAGAATGTCCGCTTCCTTTGATTGCCAAATCCCATACCAGATCTTGCGTGTTGCAGGAGTAGGCACCTAGGCTTCGTCTGCTCCTGAAATCCTACGGAGCACAGGAACACTTGTAGCGATGTGGATGATAATATGTGACTCTAACGTAAATCATGTTTTGGGGCTTCGTCAGTTCCATTCTAGCTTCCTTCTCGTTCTATCACTCCATGTCGTCCATCTTCTCCACCACGGAGCGCTTTAGTGCTCCTGGAAATTACTTTGTACACTACTATAGTCTCTTCGATCTGCAGGATTGCAGTCCTCCAGTCGAAGCCTCGACTCATCAATCTGCTCTGAAGTTGCCTTGAGACCTAATATCGTTTCCTTCGCTTCTTATTCTCACCTCTTTTCTCCAGGAGATTTTCTCCTAGCCACTCATTGAGCATGATGTTTTTCTGGGTCTTGTATCTACTTCTCTTCGGTAGGGGGTTTGCCGATTCTGACGATGATTTGATGTCCTTTGTCACAGTATGTCCTCCAATATGAGCTGAACGACATTGGACTGACAAGATTAAGCTCCCCGAAGTTAGAGCGGTACGATTCGATGTTGCTTACTATGATCGTGAATCTGTAAGCCCGGGATACTGGTTCGTCGCGCCGTATGGCGTAATTGACCCAGAGGCTCCCACCAAGCAGTGGAAGCCATGCCAAATCGGACCGTATATTTATGACGCAGACGGGGTATGTCTCTCTCAAAGTCTTGAAGCATGGACCCAACTTACGAGGCTAATTCTGGTCAGACCCTGATCTGGGCTGGTTCATGCATGTTTGACAATCGAAATATCTTCGACTTCAAGGCAGTGCACAACATCGATGATCGACCTCATCTCTCGTTTATCCTGCAGCATGCGTATCACGATGATGGCAGGGAAAAGGGACTAGGATATGTCCTTGATGAGCATTACGAGCCAGAATATGCCGTTGGAGTGACAAATGATCTCTCATCATTCAATATGCACGAATTCAACATCCTCGACGGCGGAAAGACAGCCCTAGCTTGCCTATACCGTCCGGAGTACATGGATCTTGGAGATCTGGGGCGTCCGGATGAACATGGCTGGGTGATGACTGGTGGTTTCGTGGAATTGGATGTAGCTGCTGGGGCTGTACTCTATGAATGGAGCTCTGTCGGCCACATCCCCATTCATGAGTCTGTACAAGTCAATCCCTGGGATCCGCCGTCTGGCCAGCCTGGCTGGGATTACGTCCATGTCAACGCCGTGGATAAGAACGCGGCCGGTGACTATATTCTGTCCGCACGGTTCACAAACACAATCTACCTCATTTCCGGACAAGATGGACACATTATCTGGAGACTTGGGGGGAAATCTTCGGACTTTGTGCAGGATTTCACGTTCTCTAAGCAGCACCATGTCCGGTTTGTCGAGTCAAATGAAACGCATACAACTATCTCGTTCTTGAACAACGCTTCTGATGAAGGCGGACACGACGAAGACCATTCCGCTGCTCTCATTGTGCAGGTGGATACCAGTGCATCCCCCATGACAGCACGACTGCTCAACCGTTACGACCGCCCGGATGGAGGTCTCACTCGGCTCCGTGGTAGCGTTCAGCGCTTGCCAAATGGCAACGTCTTTGTTGGCTGGAGTGAGCGGGGCTACCAAAGCGAGCACTCGCCCGACGGCAAAGTTCTCATGCAGGCCAGCTTTGCATCCACTCGCTTCTCCACCTACCGGTCTTACAAATTCCCCTTTGAGGGTCGTCCTCTGACGTCCCCGGACGTGGTCTCGACAGTGTACGGTACAGATGAGACAGACCTCACGACTATCTTGCACGTCAGTTGGAACGGAGCGACAGATATCGCCTCTTGGAATTTCTACGCCCGCAAGGAGCAGAACGGAATCCCCGTGGTGGTCGGCAATACCACCAAGGTCGACTTTGAAACGATGTACATCGCTGACGGATATCTGGACTGGGTCTCCGTGGAAGCAGTGGATAAGGACGGGAACGTGCTGGGTACTTCCGCCATTCATCGCACCACTACGCCAGACAATTGGCGACTGGCGGGCTTCGAGGGCGAGGAGAAGCCCACACCCGACGACCCTTCGCTGCTGTACAGTTCCAAGCTGTCCGACGAAGACGACGTTGCGGATTCTTACAGCACGGTCAAGGAAGCAGCCACAGCTGTAAACCAAGCGTATGAGCTTATCCAAGGGGTTGGGGAGCTCCTGGTTTTTGTTTTGATTGCGTGCTCCATGAGCGGGCTCATGGTCGGCATTTACTTATTCATCCGGCGACGTCGTATGCAGGTATACCATACAGTCCCATCCGATGAGGCTCAACCCACGGACGATCTTGCGCCTCATGAGAGCAAATAAAGGAGTTTGCATGTTCGAGGGTTGCGAATCCAACAAAGGCATTGTGGTGACCTCGAACTTGCGGCCACTTTATCCATCATCCTCCTTCTTACACTTGCCTATAATCATGAATCATGTACATATCGATCATCATCGCGTTTCCTTATACTTGGTAGTATCATATACTTACTTCCTGAATTTCTGTTAAACAGAGACTATGTACTTGCCTGAAAAAACATCCCTTGATGCCGATATACGATCGATCCTTCTGCAAATTCCAACCATTTCTGTCTCAATTTGCCCATTCCTCCATTAGCTCGTCCCCTCTCTCACTCCTCATATCAACCTCAGTGCTTCACGCCATAAACAGGTATTAGACAAACTAAAACATAAGTCTTAAAACCTTGGCCTTGACAGGCCCCGCCAACTCCCTCGCCAGTCGTTCATCTTCGCGAATCTGAAAAGCCGTTGGATCCATAATCTGTTCCTCAATCTCCCGAGCGACTTTCTCAAGCTGGTCCTGTTTGAAGCTGCTCATGTGAAGTCGAATATCGACCCAGTCGAGTCGTGGTCCATAGCGCGCAAAGGCAAGCAGCGGCAAGGACCACCGTTCACCCACTTGAAGACTGATGGGCCAGTCTCGAATTTTCATATCGATATGAAGGACACGCAGTGACTTGCAGTAGACAGTCAGGTCATCGCAGGCATTGTACCACGCCATGTCGCTCATGCACTTGTACCACCGGAAATTCAGCAGCGCAGGCTCGCTGTACATGGTATGGTTGAGCTCGATGTGCTGAATCGCCATTTGGGCTTCTTTGTTGGTGATCTTCAAAAAGCGCATCACGGTGCGAGTCGTGTTGAAAATGAACTGCACCCTGGAGTAGAACAGGCACAGCGTATCACGGTAGATGCTGCGACATGTGATCAGAAGCGCGATGGGGAGGGGAGGACAAGTATAGCGTCCTTCACTTGAGCGTGCGGCATGTGTTTTTGAATCGCGAGGTCGCAGCTGGCGATGGTAGAGGCGGTAATGGACTCGCTTGATGTTGTTTTCTGGGATCTTGTCCCGCGAACGCAGGACTTCGACTCGGTGAACGTCAAATACGAGTTCATAGATCCTCCAACGTAGCTCGCCGGGAAGACGCTGAAAGGCCGAAAGTTTGGTGGGTAGACTGTCTATCACCGCGGCAGGCGCATCTCTACCTGGGCCTTGGTGGAAGCTCTTCTTCGTAGGAACGAATTGTAGAGACTGAGGACAAAGAACACGGTCTTCCTCTGGCTTAAGCTTTGACGAAGAACCAAGGTATGCTAGGTAGCTATTAGAGATGGTCTGTTCACTTTCAAAGACTCGGAACAAGTGGAGTCTCACCTTTGACGAAGTATTTTCCATCACAGTTTGAACTGCCGGTCTGGTAAGCATTCGAAAAGGCATTACTCGTCTTGCTGGTGAGGCCACTGGGTAGAGACGCTTTCACGTTTCCCGTGGACGCAATAGTGGACGAAATCCCTGGATTCTGCAAGTTTCCAGATTTCTATTGGGTATCCTTTCGTCAGCTGGGTTACAATCAATCGAGTCAGAACAGCAAGACGACTGACACTGAGATCGAGCATTCGTCCTCCGGAGGGAACGTTTCTGTATCCGCCTCTACCACGAGATGCCTAGGTTATCGTCAGTGTGTCCTAGCTTGCTTAGACTGAGGTGTAAGTCCAACTGACACTAGGTTCGGAGCTCTTTGCTGCAAAGCGGGAGTTGGTGTCTTCGGTATCGTGTGAGTTGAAGTTGGGTTTGTTGGATCTACCGCCTCTTCCTCGGACGAACCTGAATCCCCGGCCTCCTTGCTGGCCTCTATTTTGCTGTTTTGGTTTTGCCATGGCGATTTGATGAGTCGCTGATACGCAGAGGGTGAAGTGTGGTATGAAAAGAGAGTGGGTATGTATGCAAGAGAGAGGGAGAACAAGGAAGGAGGAGTCAAGGTGCCTTGAGGAAACCAAGCTTTAACAGAGAGCGTACCCAGTATCAAGTGCAACTGAATCTAAAAGTCTACAACACATATCTCACAGATTGTTGAGAGCTAAATCATTCACTGCTCCTGACTTAATTTTCTCTTCCTAGTCGGCCAGTGCAGAAGAGACTGAATAGTCTGTCAATAATAGTGGAATATTGCACAACTCCATGATGATTTGATTGACCTGTTTATCAACTGATTGACCTGTTTATCTCACAGTAGTATGACCCTTATTATAAGTTCAAGACAAGCTGGCTGTGATGTCGTAGATCGGTATTCAGACAGAGGGACCACTCCTCTGTACGACAAGTATATAAATATCACGCTAAGCCACTTGTGGACTGTTGCATGCCTTATTTTTCTGTCCCCCATCTACATGCTGTTATTATTAGACTCATTTTTCGTCCCCATCACAGAAAAGGCTCTCGCTGCTCTTCTTCATCAGCCTCCCCAGCTCAGTTTGTTACCTAGAATCCAAGTCCAACTTCAAGTCTATTCTCAAAGGAATGTCTTTTTCTGCTGGAGCCCTGCGATCCTCTAGCCTCTCCACTCGAGCTCAATTGCTGTCGATATTGCATCCCGTGAGATCATCACCGGGACCCCACCACAACCACCACCACCAACAGCTGCAGCATCACCGCCGCCCCTATTCTTCCTCCTCTTCTAAACCTGACTCTCCCTCCCCATCTTCCTCTCCGTCTTCTTCCTCCTCTTCAGGGTCTCAATACAGTCGTTCTCAATTCAAAATCCTCCCCTTCGTGACTATCTTCGCCATTGGCACCGGTTCCTACATCCTATTGGTGAAATCGCGCACAGGCGTCCGCAAGCCGCAATCCAATCAATAAAACATCCACCACCTCAAAAACGAGCAAAATAAAACATGGCCAACACACAGAATCCCCCAGCCGTCCCTCCTACACAACCCGCCCCTCCTCAGGCCTCGACGAACACCACCCCGCGCTTCTCTCCACAGGATGTCACCGTCGTTTTCCTGCTAGGTGGACCGGGCAGCGGCAAGGGCACGCAATCCACCAACCTAGTCCGCGACTACGGTTTCATCCATCTGTCCGCAGGCGATCTGCTGCGCGCGGAACAGGTCCGCGAGGGAAGCCAGTACGGCGACCTCATCCGCACGTACATCAAAGAGGGCAAGATCGTGCCCATGGAGATCACGGTGGCGCTGCTGTCGAACGCCATGGCCGATGCGTTGGCGGCCGGTGCCGGCGCTACCGCTGACGGTGGGAAGAAGAAGGCCCGATTCCTAATCGACGGGTTCCCGCGCAAGCTCGACCAGGCCGTGTTCTTCGAGGATACCGTCTGCCCGTCGGAAATGACTCTGTTCCTGGACTGCCCCGAGGAGGTGATGGAGAAGCGGTTGCTCAAGCGCGGGGAGACCTCGGGGCGTGACGACGACAATGCCGAGTCGATCCGCAAGCGGTTCCGGGTGTTTGTTGAGACCAGTATGCCGGTTGTGCGGGCCTTCGAGGAACAGCAGAAGGTCTTGTCTGTCTCCGCTACGGGGGCGGTCGATGAAGTGTATGCCAGAATCAGGGAGGGACTCGAGAAGAAGGGTGTCCAGCCTATCTGATGGACCTGTGTTGACTGCGGCATTTGACCGCCAATTGTTTCCGATCTCCCTGCGTCTTCCCCGTCGAATTGAATAGATGTCTCTTTGTTTATTTGAAAGAAAATTCATGTTTGTGTTTATATAGACATATCCCATTTAGTCCACCTTATCAGAAACGAAGCGTCCAGTGTCTTAACCTGTCATACTAGAGCCAAAGAATATACAATCTCTGTCTCCAGCATATCGCCAGAAAGGATGAACAAGACATGATTCGTGATTGATTGATCTGGCCCATTCCTAACTACTAACATGCATCCAGGGCATCCCGTCTCTAAACAACAGAAGTAGCTACCATATGAACATTGTAGAAATGGAAATAAGAGAAACGGACGGGAAATTCGGACAAAAAAAAAGGGAGGGGCTCCTGGTTCAGATGAACAAGACAAGTAAATAAAGCAAAGGACACCCCAATCATTACTTTTCTTCTTTTTTCATCTTGTGGCGACGAAGTCTATTGCTTTCTCCTGCCTCGCTGCAATCCTTGTTGCCCTCAGCGTGTAATCTATTCAGCACCTCCAACCAACTCAACCTCCCGAGCCTGCTGTGGTTGTGAGGGTTGCGACTGCTGTTGTTGCTGGGGGTTACGTCTCCGGTCACCGCCCTTGGCTCCTCTCTCGCCCGACTTGCCCTGGCCGGCTTCCTCAGCCGACGCCTGCATGCTCTCCCGGATATAGCGCTCCCGCTCGGTGCGGACAACACCTAGCACACTCTCCAGACTGCGGCGCCAGACCATCAGACGGCCCTGCACCTCCGCCCACTGCTTCTCACCGAATACACGGTATGTGGCCCGGTGCACCAGGAACTCGGAACGCAGCTGCGACAGCTTGCCCTCGACCAGACCAGCCCGAATAGTGTCGATGACCCACTTCTCCACATCTTCAACAGGCACGCGCAGCGCCGAGGCGATGGTAGCATAGGGAAGGGAGCGAGAGGGAGTCGAAGCCGCAAGCGAAGCCAGGGTCAACAGGCGCATCTTGGTCTGCAGAGCCTCGGCGCCATCGGCCAGAACACCGCCAGAGATGGAGTCGAGAGGGGTGGCCGCGATGAAGTCCTCGTACGCGTCCAGAGTGTCGGCGGTGAAGATCTCCAGCAACTCGAAAAGGGTGCTGTCGCTGGAGCGAAGAGCCTGGATGGCATCGGCGGCGGTCAGCGAAGTGAAATCGAAAACGCCGGGGCTCTTGAGGGCGGAGGTCAAGGCACGGACGGCCAGGTCGCGCGCTTCCTTGCTGGAGGCCTCGTTGGCGGGGATCGTCTGCAGGGCCTGCACCACATGAGTCTGCGCCAATTCAAGATCGCCCGAAGCTTGAGCGGCATCAGCAACGGCAAGGTGCAGCTTCTGAGCATCCTCCTCGTCCAACTCCCAGGCGGACAACCAGGTGGGCAGCTGAGCGGCCAGCTGGGGCTTCAGCGCCTCGAAGGCGTACGAAGAGCCGGACTGGCGAATGACGGCGACGATGGCCAGGAGGACGTGGAAACGGCTGGAGTCGGTGGGAGTGAGAGTGTTGAAGATGGTGGTCAGGATGGAGATTGCGAGCGTGGGGCCAAACTGAGGCGAGGTGGTGATAGGTTTGGCGAGATAGGTGCAAATGCGGGAGAGGAACATATCCGGGTTCGAGGCCTGGTGCACCAAGTGCACGAGGAGGTTGTAGGCGGAAATGATTTCTAGTTGTAAGATTGCAAAGGTCAGCCTTACCCAGCTCCTTCTCTTTGCCTCGATCTTCCGGGATTCATCTATAGCAACCCGCCCACACAAACTCACCCTTCTCTGGAGCCGCATTCAACACAGTGGCGGCAGCCACCAACTTCTTCAGCACTTCATCGCGCTGTTTGCGATCGGGCTCCTCCTCCGACTGTTCTTGCTGGCGAAGAGGTTCAATGAGGGGAGCGATTTCGGATTGGAGGCTGGCGCCCTCGTTCTTGCGGAGGGTGTCAATGTACAGGGCGAACTCGTCGGCGAGTTCGGTGAAGGTACCCTCGATCAGGAGGGTGGTAGTAGGAGCGGGCATAATGGGCGTAGATAGGGGAGGGAGGGAAGGGGAGAGAGACAAGGTCTAGAAAAGAAAAAGAAGAGAGGGGCGGAGAGAGTCCCAAGAGGCTATCGATATTCGATAAGTTCGATGATGCCGGGAAGGGCGAAATTTCAGTGTGGGCAAAACTCTTGGCGAATTGGCACTTTTTTTGGTTGGAGAAACCACCTGACAAAAGAGACGTCTAGAGGTGGACCGAGCTGATTCAACCCAACAACGGACGTATTCCTTTATAAATTTACCCTTATCATCGATTTGCATATTTTTTCCATGACTATTCAGCAAAATTTTCGAGAAGGGAAAATTTACAGACTCAGGCCCATCACCGATTGCACAGTCCGCCGCCAACAACAACAGTCCAGAGTACTTATCACTCTACAAGCCGGATTATCGTCCAAGGGCATCATCACAATGGTTAAAAGTTCAGAAGCTACCAGCACATCAATAATTGATCGGGTCGTACCCGTGAATTAGTCAATTCCTAAGCGCCAACAGGTATTTGCAGGCTCCGATTAAGGACAGTCATGAAAAGCGTATAGTGCATACAGGATCATAATATCACAAATGGCTCAATTACGAGACATGAACGCGGGGGGATATTGGGATTGCAGTGCAATGAGTCAAGTGTTCGGACAAAAAAGTGCGGAAAAACAGGCGACGAACGGGCATTAGACAGAGAAGTCAACAGTCGAATAATCAATCTCCGTGGTTGTCTTGTGCGCTCCATGGTCGCATACTCAACGGATGTGATAGGTATGGTCATGGTCGCAAACATGGCAGACCACCCCATTTACAGCAGGAGACGAGCCGCAAAGAAGAGCACGGTCGCCATCACACCAGTGGCGTGCTCTCCGACCAGCCGAATGGCAGCATTGCTGGCATGAGCGGTAGCACTGCTACTAGTAGTGGTGGTGGCCGTGGCAGTTGACTCAGCCTGGTTTCCGGTCGCGCTCTGCGTGGCGGTGGAAACAGCGGAAGACGTAGTGGTAGATGAGGAGGTAGAAGAGGCCGTCGCGTTCCGTGTACCGCACTCTTTCTGGGCGTCCTTACACTTTTCATCCTGATCCTGAGTCGAGGAGGCAGCGATGCACTGCTTGTAGGTTTCCTGGCAGACAAAGAAGGGGATGGTCTGCATGTACGGGGACACATCGGCCTCGGTACCGTTGCTGCACTTGCAAGAGAATTGAAGAGTGTCCTGTCCATTATCGCATTAGTTTGGTAAGGATTGAGAACGGCGGGTTTTTTAAGTTCATCGAAACATACGGGATCACATGAGTTGCTATCGGCGATTCCACCACAGATACTCGGGCATGAGTTCCGCTCAGCCAGACACCAAGCAGCTATAAATCATCTCCACGTTAGTCAATTGACTACTTAGGGTGACGAGCGACCTCAGTAACGAACCTTTGTCAGTAGAGGTAACCTGGGCGAGGTTGAAGCCCGCAGGGAAAGTGTAATTGTTGCTGGCAGCAGCGGCAGCCACCAACGTGGACAAGACAATGGCGATGGAGCGCATGGTGGAGAAAGTGAAGATCTTTGATTATGTGAGAAGATCGACAGTCAATTGATAAGGTTATTGAGGATGCAAATAATCCTAACTGGATGAGATTATTATTGTCAATGACGACGACGACGATGGAGAGAGAAGAGGGAGGGAAGAGAAGGGAGGAAGGTGGAAGAAGAGGAAGAGGAGGAGGAGAAAAAGGGAAATAAACAAGAGGGAAAGCTCAATTCTCTTCAACAAACAAGTCTTAGATTATTATGTATTAGAAGGAAAGGACCTATCGAGGATCAGGAATGCCAGTTTAGCGTCAATTCTCGTCGAAAAGGGTAATCATTCGAACTCAACCAAGGATCTTAGCTTAAGACTTTGGACTTGGGACTTGGGTAGTAGGAGGTTAGTTGCAGACTAAGGGAGATACCTTGGTACAGTCCTAGCTAGTCCATGGTCTTGTCTACTATTATTATCAATATTCTTCTTCTTAACTGGTCCCATGACTGTCGGGCTTGGAATAGCAGAATTCATTATCAATCAATCCTTTATTTGCGTGAAGAATTGGTCTACGAGTGACGATACTGATGGATAATAACATTGCGAGGAACTTCAAGTCAGGCACCACATTTGTGCTAGCAACTAGCAACTAGCAAGGAGATAGTATCCACTACGTAACCTAGTCTACTGCCTAAATTACTGAACCCATTTTATTTGTTGATAGCCAATCGAATATTCATCTGACTCTACGGAGTCTACGGAGATACCCGCAGAGTACAAAGTATCGTCAAAATCAAGGAACCAGTGGCACTTTAGGCGGAGTCAGAAGGTACCTAGTGTAACTCAACATTCATCATCAGCTGTTATTATTATTATTGTTGTTGTTGCTATTGTTGTTTTTATTATTCAGGACCAGTGGCACAAGGAATAGAAGCATCGTTAGAGGAATAATCCTACTGGATCGGGGTCGTATCATACCATCCGAAAACAGAAGAATGCCGTTGTCGCTCTCGTGCTCAGAAGACGTTGGGTCCTTGAACGTATACCTGGAGCAGAACAACGCAGGTAGACACTATCCAGTAAATTAGCCTGTAACAGATAAATAGTATCAGGATCATTGACTATCCTGTTCATAGATTGAATACTACGGAGCATACGGAATAATCAATCTCATTAGTGTCCTTTGTCCTTGTCACTACCTTACGGAGTAGACTTGTATCAATCTCGGAGATAACATTCCTAAACAGAGAACATGCCCGCTACATACTAAGGTACCTACGAGCGGAACGCAGGACTACTAACACATTCAGTCTACCACCTTTACTGATGAAGGTCGATATCGGGGTCAATTATGATATTCTGCTCCGATCCCATAACTTGACAGATGATCATCTATCTAGCCACTGATCACTCAACAGAAACTACAACTGACGAGGATCAAT